TTTGCTTTTTTCTTTTTTTTATGCTTTTTTCTAAGAAATAGACAAGGGATGAAGGCTCCAGCCAGCTCACATTTTTTAAACTCGAAAAAACAGACAAAAAAAATAAAAAATAAAATCTAAAAAAAATACCAGGTTGAAGAATATTAGTTGCTCCTTCGAATTTCGCCAAAGCCTTACCTACATTTTACCGAAATCTGCAGAATAAATCAAGAAAACTACACAAATTGACGCCATTTAGGAATTCCTAACGGTTAGTCCGAACGCACGACACCGTTGGAGGCGTGGCCTGTTCAGCATTTGTCAACAACCAATCACAAGACTGGTTACGAACCAGTTGAGCAAGGCTAACCGAGTCATCCCTTGTCTATTTCTTACACGAGATACCAGCCGATACCCCCCCCCCCCTCCCTGCTCATAGAGACTGCGTATTACAGTTGATTATAGTTCCTGGGCTCCCTGTGGTTTAAGTAAAACAAACTGTCGACGGATTAGAAGCGAATCAGGTGTGATCACGACCTGCTGAAAAGCTGACTCTTCTTGCCTTCAGATCTTGTGGTGGATGAGATAGGGTTGTGTTGTGTAGAGAAATAGACTTGCATGAGACAAAGTTAGAGTTCCGTGAGATTCACTTTATTACAACACGTCAGACTACATTGAAGTCAAAACCAGAACTACTCCCTCCAAAAATCTGGTAGCTTGGAGTATTTGCATAATGTTGTCAAAATAGAATACATAACTATGATTGGTTCAATTCAAAGTGGAAGATTCCACTGTCATAGCAACAAGTAATTCGTCTTAGTTACGAGTCAAAGGTTATAGAAAGAGGCGGCAAGACCAACACCTAACAATACAACATTAAATGATAAACAAGATACAATGTAATACAATACTACATAGGTAAACAGTAGAATTCTGAACCATGCATGTAAATAAATTTTGAAATGTTGATTGCAATGGAGCTCTCAGCAATAGATCTACACATAATTTCATTACTTTCATTACTCATCTGACAATTACGCGCATTCCTTTCAACTCCTACCACATTTGTTGGTATTTAGATACTTGAATAACGATACATGTAAATTAAATGTCATGCACTGCAATTACGGGTGGAGTGAGCCCTTACTGATGCGCTGTGATAACCAGTATAGCGAAGAGTAGGAGTGATTTCGTTCAAAGGAAATTAATTTGAAGTAATCGATGTTTAGGATCGATATGTGATATATAATAACGTTCACTCGTCCTAGGTTTATTTAAATAATGTAGTTACTACTAATAAAAATCCGACAGTATTGACCTCAGCATCTTCCGCAGGTATGTCCATATACTGAGGGAAGTTTCGGCATCATTCAATGTTTATGGTGACCTTTCTTTTTTCCCCGTCCTGGCGACCCAGGTATTTGTCCTGGTGGTCCGCCGTGTGGGTGACTTCCTCTGCGTCCACGACCTTTTCCTGGTCCCATATCGCCTAAGTCTATTTTACAGCTGCACACATTACCCATCTGTCGGATTCAAGGATAAAAACAATTAAAACAAATTGTAATCGAGACAAATTAAGATAAAATTTAAAATAAAATAAAATAAAATAAAAAATAAATAAAAAATAAATAAAAATAAAATAAAATAAAATAAAATAAAATAAAATAAAATAAAATAAAATAAAATAAAATAAAATAAAATAAAATAAAAAATAAATAAAAATAAATAAAATAAAATAAAATAAAATAAAATAAAATAAAATAAAATAAAATAAAATAAAATAAAATAAAATAAAATAAAAATAAAAATAAAATAAAATAAAATAAAATAAAATAAAATAAAATAAAATATCCCAGAATAATAAACACACATAGAAAAAACACACACCATGATTTCTAATGCTTGACCCCTTATTTCAAAAATACTAGTAACATTGTATGATACTGTGTTTGTTGAATACATCAGATTATGGTTGACCACATCAGCGCTGTTTCATGGCACTTATTTGTGTATTCGTTTAGCGAAACAATAGCATGAGCTGCTTATTTTGGTACGTACATTTTATTTATTCTGTATTTTTTTATTTTCATGTTATCAAATTCCCATTATTATTAATACAATTACAGTTATTTTTCATGTCCATTAGTCTTTTTTAATTTCCCATCGTGCAATGCAAAATATGCTCCAATATATGCTGCAAATAAATTTTAATTAACGATAAATTATAATCCGATTTGATTCCCAGTCTGCTATATCAATCAATAATATTAACAAAATATATTTCGTGCACATTGTATCTTTTAAAATGTTGTCTTGGTGTTTTGGTGGGATCATTGTTTTTTTATAGTATTGTATAATCTCTGCTACAAGCTATTCCCTCTAACGGTTCATGGACTCGCTGTTATGTGCATTGCTATAGCAACGAGCTTGTACACACGGGAAGTCAGACAATTGTGAGCATTAACGTGATGGAATTGCTTCATTTGGGACGCCCCAATAATTTAAAAAAGGAAAACACTGTCTGTACTGATACCAAATCCCAGGTACCCAATACTACAATTCTAAGTACGTGACACAACTTGATGAAGTCAACACAATCTGGGTCTCCACTTCGTAGCAATATAGATGAACAATTTCACGCGTTTGCACACACAAACTTAATTACAACAACGCTCAGTAATGTTGATTTTTTCTTCTTTTTTTGCTGAAGTTTAAACACAACACTGTCATAATCCTCGTATTGCAATGATGGCGTCTAACGAATTTTTAAATGCTCAATATGGAGTTGTTTAGAAATTCGCGTCGTGGTCGCCATGACAACCTGACATTCATTCACCCTTTATTCTTTTGTTACATGGCGTCGACACACTCGCTTATACTTAGAATAGAAGAAAGCAGCAGTTAAATGATAATGACACGTATTTGGATCATTTAAAATAAATAACGATTTTTCAAACAATTAGAACAGTATTTTATTTTATTCTATTTTGTTCATTATTTAATCTTGTCAATTTGCATTTTCATTATGATTACCTGCATTTTTTATTTTTTTTTTAATATTATTAATTATTTGGGAAGATTGCTTAATAAAACTGCCATGGTTGGCAGCATCTTTATATACCAAGAGAAAAACAACACGAATTGCATATCACTCACCTTTAGGCTTTCGCAAATATTTCCTTCTTCTTCGTCCTTGCTGGCTTGTGTTTCAATATATGACGACTGAACAGAATGTATTCCGACACTCGCTGACGGAAATAGTATAAGACTGAACGGGGGTGTTGCACTTAGTGAGGACCTAAAAATGCATCGCTCTTTGTTTTGATTCAAATGTTTTACGAGGTAATTGTTGATTTGAACAGAAGTCGTCGATTAAAAATTTTTTGAAGGAAATTGTCTAAAAATGCCATAATAGGCCTTTTTGGATTTATTTCCATACTAGAAATCTATGATGTTAGTATTATTTCTTAAACAAATAGAGGTATTGACCACATTATCCGGTCTTATATCTATACTGTAAACAAATAGTGATATTGACCACATTCTCCGGTCTTATCCCTATACTGTAAAACATGTTGAAAAGCGGTATGCAATTTTAGCGAATTGTGATAAAATGACGTAATAGTGAAATGTTGATTTAGCGAATCTCTCTTGTCATTGTCAATTTCTTTGTTTGCCGCCCATTTTGAATTGATATTAAAGTCATTAGCGGCATCTTGAATTAGCGAATCAGTTCTCTCGCTAAATTCGCGAAAAAGACATGTTTTACAGTATAAGATTCACCATATGTAACCGAAATACATTTTTAGATATGACAAAAATTCATCGATGTTTGAACCAATTTTGTGCATAAAGTCTTCGCTGACCTTAATGAGGGGCTGTCAAAAGTAACACAGAGTAAGTTGTATTTTACTATAAGTGTCCCTGTGGATGTCTATCTTTTCTGTAAGAGCCTTGATGCTCCAACCAACCACATGGTGAGCATACTGCTGCACTAGGGTATGTCATTTGAAATGTAGTGGAATATGTTTGTGTGCAAATATTTTTTTGTTTCACATATGCCGGGCAACAAATGTTGTATTCACATTATTCACCATTCTTTTACATTATTTTCTTCACCTACAGCATTTGTTTCACCATAGACTTTAGGTCTATGGTTTCACAAGCCCCCCCCCCCCGTTTTCAATTGGGTAACTCTTTACCGGTATCCACAAACTGAACATTATTAACTTGTGTTAACACCCACCCACCGTCAATGGTACAGTAATTCTACACATAGACAAGTACCATGTGACACACTATATATGTTTTGTCACTATATCCTTACTAAAGAAAACAGTAATAACATGTCATACAACAAAGAGAAAACATGCTATTTTCATTTAATTTTTAGCCTGCACTTGTATTCAATTTCTCAACATATATAGAGAAAATTGCATTATTTTTATTTTTAAGAAAGGATCACACTCAAAATGACACTCAAATTTAATTTTGAAATGGTCGACAGCTAAACGGAGAAGTTCTGGTCTCCTAGGTTCTATAGAAACAACACACATTGCATAACACATCGTTTTATAATTTGCTTCTTGGAGCTTGATGCATCATCTAAAAGGTAAATAACAGAAGGTGTTGCACCCCCGGGTGTATAGCCATTATCATGGTCACGGTTGTTTACTGAGAACTAAACGTTATGTGTGTGCAAATGGAAACGACACGACGAGCGTTAGATTTGCTCGTATTGGAAACCACATTCATTCTCCGTCATCAAATAGAGATATGTCGAACTAACATGTCTAAATACCGGTAAATGTATTCAAGTTGCTGATGTACGGTGTCGATTTCCCATGGTGGGTGATAGATATATATATGTATATTAACACAGGGGTTCAATCGTCTGGGAGGAGCTAATTTGTACCGGTGGGAATATGACGTGTGCTGTCCTACATATTTAATATATTATGTATATAAATACATGGATTAATAAATGAAATAAAAATATTGGATCACCGTACTCAGTTCAGAGATAATCGATCAATAAAATACAGTGGACATTCTGGTTTTACCGTCATTGTTTCCTCTGGCAGGATATATCTCAACATTTTGCCGAGTGACATATTATATATATATATATATATATATATATATATATATATATATATATATATATATATATATAAAGATATATATTGTCTTATAAGGTGATATTTGATGTCTAGATGTATTAAACAATTGACAATATTTGTAGTGGATTTATAAAGTGCAAATGTATTTTTACTGTGGTCTTTGGAAACCGCTAAAATGGCACGATATTATGTATTATTTCACCGTTTTTCACAAAATTCAGATTGCCTAAACGAGATGCTGAATTTGTTCGAGTTGAATATCCAGATTTTATTCATTTTGCAATAAATTGTACTCCAGGCAATATAAGAATATTGGCTTAAAGAGTTGAGGGTCGCTAGCCTAATTTATTAAGTGGCTTGTGACCATGTTAGTGGCATAATAACGCTTTTACCATATGGCAGAGATATTATGCCATATCTCAAAATGAATGCTGGTGATATAGGCTGAAAAAATCATATATTGTAAATGATTGGGTACTTTGTGTTGTTCTAAATTATTTCAAAAATTTGGGTTTAAAAAAGTATTAAAAAATGCAATTTCTCTTTAAAATTTCTCTTTGTGTTCTATGGAATTGTTCTAAAAATAGATTTTTGAAGAATATTAGGACAAGTTGAACATGGCATATGAATGTTTTCCAATGACACTTCTGAAATTCAATCAAGTGACACACTTCTTAGCACTATTGTAATGTTGACCTTTATTCCGTTCCGCATTTTGTTTTGGACGTTAGAAATATTATGTATTAATATTATATTATGAAAACAGAAATTATTTTTCCTGAGACTGAAACGATACAGCAATAAATACAGTAACGCTATAAGTGAAGCGTGATTAAAAACATACATAGCTCAAGATGAAGATACCGAGTCATCATGATCGTAAGTATCTTCCTATTCGATTGCGCACAGGATAGGAATTTTTCTTTGTATCCAGCAAATCTTGTATAAGCCTCTTTTTGTAGAGTGTCCATCGTTTTTCTGTCATGTAACTTTCGAAGACTTGTTGCCTCCCAGGTAAATACATCTCAGCCGTTTCTCTCATATCTGCCAGACACTTATGTGTTCCGTGTTTTTTAAACACCACTGCATTCACCAATAAACACTGCACTTTACCGTACGCTGTTATATGGATGTTACTCAGATCTTCTCCTATTGAATGATAACCAGTATAAGGTTATGTATAAATCAGTTTCAATTTACCCCAAATGGACGATTTAATTGTATAATTTATGAAACGTCGCTATTTTTCAATGTGTAATGTGCGGATTCAACATACTAGTAGTCTGCAGACAGGGAGCGCTTTCCCGAATTGTGACTCATTATAGAACACTCGCGCCCCCTAGCGACAAACGCTTCTATGACATAAAGAGGTTTAGGGATACGTTGTTTTGATATCTGGTCGTCGGTCAATGAACACTACTACATGTATATGTTTTGTAGATTTACTATCTACACTGAAGAACGGCATCAGAACTAAACAGAGTTGCATTTGAAAGACATTACAAAGACACCACTTACATACACGTCAAAGAAGCTCTTTGTTATTAGAATGATAGTGAACTTACCGACTCCAAAATACCGTCCTTGTCCAAAGGTGCTTACATGTATGAAGTGTTTTTCTTGGTTTTGATGTATATTCGGGAATAATGACTTAGGTCGGACAATTTCTTCAGTGTCGGACGGCGCCAGTGTTAGATTGTGTCTTTTGTTAGACAGCTCTGTACGCAATAAAGTCATTTCTCGTATGATTCTGCATTTCCCGGAAATAACGAAATATACATTTTCTGGGGATGTCTTTAGGTTGCTCGTGATGACCTGAAAGGGGACAATGATATAAAACTCGTCAATTCGTCAAACTCATCGTCAACCAAGAACCTTTTTTTTAAATATACAAAATGTATTTAAAATAAACAAATTAACAGCAATAATAACTATTCAGGCTAAAAGAAAACTGACCCCAGGCCTGAACAACATCTCTCTTAAAAGTTGCGCCCTCTAGCGGCAATGTACTTTAGTGACGTAGATGACGTTGAGACCACTTTCCCGGAAGTCTAAGATACGGCGTTTCGCATGCGCGAGCATTTCGGATATGATGTGTAACGTAAACATACACGCGTGATATTGTTGGTATCAATGGACGTCACAAAAATGAAATTCCCTTTTACCGAATATCTGCAGACTATCATATTTGTATTTGGCGCCATAACAAAATAGGCGTCTTTCTGCATCCCTGTCTCCCTACATCCGGGAAAGTGGTCTAATAGATGAAATCAATTTCGTTCAAAGTCACAACTCTGTTCGGCTGTGTTGTCGTTAATCATTTAAAATATTGCAAATCTCTCGGAAACGTTATTATTTATTGATGATCTACAGAACAAAACAATATCGACGTCGAGAACGACCTGAGAGAGCGCGACATATACGTGCACGAATGTTGTATCCGATGTTGTTTCTTTCATACACGGGTCGATAATCTAAATGTCATTGAATCCCCCCCCCCTTCCCTGTGGTGTTGGAATATTGCCATTCTGTAGGTACTCACGCTATTATTCGCAAAATCCAGCAGCTTTGATTTGTCGCACGCGGCACGTTTGCCGACGTCTGACCAGTTTTCGAATGGTTCGAGGGTGTCAATAATTGCCCGCCTTTCCTCCCACGCACGCTGGTGACTTATCTTGAGAACCATGTCGAAGTCTTGTTTATCTACACGTAAAAATTCACAGTCACCTGTAATGCGAAACGTACAACATGCTAGTCGTGTGCTAGTGAGTTTGTCACGCTGAGAGTGCAGCGCCACCACATAATCAGAATACTAGTTTATACAATACGTAATTAATTATATATTAATGGCACCGTACCTTTGCATATGACCGTAGCCGTTCGTTTCGAGTCGTGAAGAAGAGCTAACTCCCCAAAAGATGAACCAGGGCCAAGTTCACCCGTAATTTGTCTGTGACTTTCTCCTAAATTACGGATAAAATAATATAAAATAATGAATTCAACTACGATCTAACACAGTCCCTGCCGGCCAAATTAACATAATTGTTGTAGTAACACGAACCGACCACACCCGATACCAATATCTCGAAGGGATTAACACTGTCCTCTCTGTGTTATGTTTCATTAGACTCTTACACGCGTCTACCATGTGACAGCGGCGCGGCTCCCTAAGGTTCATCTGTTCCGTATTACATACATATATAAACGTTATGTGACGTTAGAGGAGTGTTATACGTCAATTCTAGAATTCATTCGTAAAATTGCGTAGTATACAACTTTCGAATAAAACACCACGAAAATTATGTTACATATAAAGCAGATTCTTACCTGTAACATTGTCATGTTCACCCACTTCCAAGGTGACAGTGCCAGAAACGATGAAATAAAACGACAGTCCTGGCTGGCCTTGTTGGACTACTTTCCTCCCACTTTCAAAGGTCTCATAATACAATACACGGGCTAGTTCTTTCTGCACAATGACTGGGTACTTATCGAAATACTTTTGTCTATGTATTATTTTATACAGGTAATTCGCATCGTCGTCGGACCGATTCCATGAATTGATTTTAAACAAAGACTTGGCTCGCTGTGTCAATCCACGGAAAGACTGGACAGATGCCTGGAAGGCATTCACGTTAAATGTCAGGGTTTTTTCATCGCCATGTTCAGGGGCTTGCACAACGAACGACTTCTTGCTTTCCTCTTGTTTTTCGCGATTGTTTAGTTCTTTGGACCACATGACGTTGTTTTTCATCATTTTAGCCACTACGTGAAAACGATTAATCCTGACACCAAGGCGGGCTTTTTTCTAAATAAATAAATAAATAAATAAATAAATAAATAAATAAATAAATAAATAAATAAATAAATAAATAAATAAATAAATAAATAAATAAATAAATTGTTCATTCCGTATTTTGTCATTTTCTTCTCTCGACTAAGTATACTGACGATGTTATCTGCAATGTTGCTGATGTTGTTTTCAATATGGGCAAGTTACAATAGAAAATGTATTTTTAGACCAATGCTCTGATCTCTCCTCAAATAATGACCGAAACACCTGAGGGCGCTGATTTGTTGAATGTTTGTTTTTTTGTGTGTGATATGTTTTCAATGAATAAATTCACCTCAATGTCCCGCTCTTTTTTAGTTTGTTCCGCTTCTCTGTCAAATAGTTCGCTTTCACCATAGTTGCTATAGTCTGACGGTAGTTCGGTGTGGTCCCGCTCCATCCCAACACTAATATTTGTCGGAGGTCGGTCATCGGCATCTTCTGTTTTTTGACTCTTCTCTTCTTTGGTGACAATTACCGTAATCTCAACTTTGGGGTTACACGGTTTTGTCTTTTGCTGTGTTTTCATGGCGACTTTGGCTTCTTCGTGATTTGTGGATGGCCGCACAATGTCCTCAATAACATCAAGCTGCACATTTGGCTCTTTTTCTTCTTTTTCGGCTAATGCTGCGTTAAATGCGTGGTTGGTTTCATCGTTAGCGGGTTTAATCGGCGCATTTATAGCGCATCGTCGACCGCGCCGCTCAAACGACGGCGTCGGGTAATTGCCAAAACTGTCAGTTGAACCCATTGTGTGTTTTCAAATGCCGTACATCAAACCAAATGTGAACTACTTCCCTACGTG